GGTTGGCGGGTGTTGAAGAGAAAAGGCTCAAAGGTGAGAGATAGCTATGGTTCTTAGTGGGGAATTTTCGATGCAGGCGGGCACGGACCGCTATCCAGATTTACGTTCGCCGCGTGGGCCGCTATTGTAACAATATCACCAATTCTGATCCGCCTTCACCATGCCGAGGAAGAAGCCGAGGTTCCATTCGCTGAAGAAGCTGGTATGCTTGCTATTGCTCGAATAGGCGGGCAATGGCCGTAGGCTGACACGCTGCAGAATGTCCGCCAGAATTGGTCGCGGTGGTCATTATACGCCCTATCACAGCTCAAGGCACCCAACGTCACCACTCGAACATACTTTCAGCAGAAATGGACTGCCAAGGCGTCGACACGAGCATACCATGGCGAACACATACGGGAGAAGAAGTGGAAGCACATGTTCCGGCGGAACCTGCCAGCCGTAGTGGCCATGGACCATAGATATCTCGCCCAACACGATGGTTCAGAGCAGGCAGCTGGTCGAGGACAGGGTGCGGATTCAATGGACAAAGCCCGGACAGGGCCAATGACACCGTACATGCAGATGGCATACTACCCGCTGGAGAGGAGATTGGACACAGCCATCTTCCGCTCGTTATTCGCGAGTAGTGTCCGACAGGCGAGGCAATTCGTTGTCCACGGCCTGGTGAAGGTCAATGGCAAGAAGGTGCGTCAATTTTCGCATACTGCACATCACCACCACTGACTGAAACAGATGGTCTACCCCGGCTACGCACTCAACCCAGGCGACATGTTCCAAGTCGACCCCTCCTCCGTCATGTTCGCAACCGGCGCGCCGAAAGAACGCTCATCAACCGCTCGTCGCATTGCCAAAGAAAAAGCAGCCGCCCGCGCCGCAGAGCGGGAGCAAAACGGCGGACAAACACCCAAGCAACCCAAGCAAGACGACTTCGTAATCACTCCATCCACACGCGAAGAGCCCACACCCACCGAGCTGAAGAAGCAACTCCAAGACCTAATGGAGCAGGTCGACGGCGTGCTCGCCGAAGACGTCAAAGCAAAAGACAAGCAAAAGTTCCGCTCCTTCCGCCAATCCGTCAAGAAAGCCATAAGTCTCTGGCGCACCGCAAACCCAGAGACCATCTCGACCCTCGACACGCAATTCGACTTCCTCAAGACGCAAATCGCCGAGCGCGCTGCTGCCACGACCCCCTCCTCCCCCAAAGACGCTTCCGCCGCCGAACCCCTCATCTCCGAAGAAGACCAAGCGCGTCTGCGGTCCGCATTTGAGAAACTACGGTTAGAAACCGAGCACACGTCTGCGTGGAACAGGCGCGATGCGAGGGCGCCGTATGCGACGCCCTGGCGGCCGAGGGACTATATGAGTGCTTTTGCGTTTATACCGCGGTATCTGGAGGTTAATCAGAATATCTGTGCGGCTGTCTATCTGAGGCATCCCGTTGCGAGACAAGGGTTGGCAGAGGTGCCTACACCGTTCCATATTGAGACAGGGCAGTTGGCGTTCAACTGGTACCTGCGGAATCGGTAGAGGGTGATGCGTTTGTACATTATGTAGATAGATCGCTTAACGCGGAGAATTGCAATTGTATAACATGATTTACGTTTTTGCAAGCATTATGACTTGATGTGTTTGATGGATTGGTATTATGGGCTTGCTAGTAATGCAAGTCTCAGACCACAACTCCTAACTACAAGAATCGCGTCTCGCGCTTGTGTATGCTTTCTCACTGCTTATTATTATACATGAGGACGTCGAGGTATTAGTGGGTGGTGTCCTCTGACCACCCGTTGATCGGACATTGCCATGTATCAACATCGCTAGGAATGAAGCTGGTACGAACAACCCAATGTAGCTCCGTACTCCAAACTAACGGGAAACCTGCATGCGTGGAAGAATCGCGGGCGAAGAATACGTTTAAAAGTCGCAAAAATTCCGACGATGAAAGCACAAAAAGTGTAGAAGTCTGGAGCGACTGTGCTGCGTATGCTCGCGCCGGGCGTACTGCAGGCGTAGCAGATGAGATCTCCAAAGTGCGCGGACGAGGAGGTATGTGGATGTGAAGGTTCGAAACCTCTACGTGGTAAGTACCGGGTATGAGTAGCCAAAGACGGAATGATGTGCCTTCTCAGACACAAAGCGGCAGGCGCTCAGTCTGCATCCGATTCTTCATCAAGCGTCAGTATGCTGACAGGATACCTGAGCGTCTCCGCGCTCGGCCTGGGGCTCACATCAACAACACTACTATCGGGCGTCCAATGCGAACTCCGTTCAGACGTAGTAGATGCAGTAGTGTATTGCCTGAAGCCATTCGCTACGACCTCCGAGGCCTCAAGATCAGACTCGTAGCTTGGAGGCTCGGTGGGCTCTGAACGGTAACTTGGTAGACTGTCTGTTCGGGAAAGCGGCCTTGAGGGAATCTCCGGGAGGGAGGTTGGTGGGTATGTCGATGCTGTGGAGAGGGGCGAGTACGGAGCGCGAGGCCGTTGACGTTGACAATCGCAGGGGGTGTGGTTGATTGCCCTGCCTTCTTCGGCGTCTCGGACAAGGTCGCTGACGACATCATGAGCATCCCTTAGCTGCCTGATCTCTTCTTGCATCGCGTCTTCGAGCACACCCTCTTGCTCTGAGATCAGCGCCCGTTTCTCTTCGTAGTCGGCGATACGTTGATTGTCGCGCCGTGCCCAGTTACCACGCCACCAGCTGCGCCATGCGTGTTGGCGGGCTGCTCGGCGGTAGGCGCGGGCGTTGAGACGTTCTTCTCGGGCTGCGGCACGCTCGGTCCTTGTTCGCAGGCTGCTGCACTTGTGGCGGATGACGGCGACTAGGCAGCCGCAGCAGAGAACACCCAGTGTGATCTCGAGGGCGAGAAGGTAGGGTGATGGCTTAGGTGGACGAGGTGGCAGTTCGTTCTATTTGGGGTCAGCATCAGAGTCTCTGCTTCAACTGGTGGGGTGTTGAATGGAGGCACATACTGCTTGAGCCTCGTATACCTGGGGTGTTGAAGTAACGGCTTTCAGGTGACTTCCAGAGATCTGTGCCACCTGTGCAGCATGACCGTGTGCCTGCGCGAACACTTGCTCGGGGCTGTTCATCTCTTCCAATCGTTGATCGGGTTTGAAATGGAAGGATACGATTTCCCAAGCACACTTTGCTTCATGGGCGATAGTCTGTACGATGCACGAGACGCCGTCACATTCACCCAATTGATGCGATAGTTCCTTCGCTTCTTGCCTTAGAACTGAATGAATCTGCTTCTTCTTCTCGGCGATAAGGGATTCGAGCTCTTTGAGTTCCCTCTGAAGAACTTTCAACTCGCGGATGTCGTCCTTAAGAGACGGGATTCTGCCTTTTGCTTTTGAAGTTTCGGTGACGTTGTGGAAGGCCAGACGCAATAACCGAGGAGGTTTGCGCCAGGATTCAGCTACGTCTTTGTTGCTGGCCGAGGGGTTGGGGACAGACTCAAGTCTGAGTAGAGAAGGCGGTGATGTCTGCGGTTTGAACGAGATCGTAAATCCGGCAGGTTTGGTGACTTGCTTGCCGTCGATGGCCTTGATGTTGACCGTTACTACTTGGGCTGCTTCTTCCGTTTCCAAGTTATCACGAAGACAGGCTGTCTGCCATTCGAGATCCAAGTCGTGCTGCAGAAACCATTCATTCTGTGTGAGGTCGGTAACGCCTTGGTAGGAACCGGAACCAGATGCGAAGTCGCCGTTCCACTCTTGGGGAAGATGAAGTCCGTTCAGGGTAATGTTGGAAGAGCCACAAGCTTGATCCTGGGCATGACTGGTGAAGCTCAAGGTCTAAGGATGGTGAGCAGGTGGCATGGTATTTAGGTGCCTGAGGGTGGGCCTTACCAAAGACTCGTCATCCTGGTCCGTGTGATCGCGGCCAAGACAGCCAGTGCAGGGGACACTGAAGGTAGCTTGCGCGTAGTTCTGTTGAAGGTCTAGCAATGTTTAGCAGCTGCCTGCAGAAGGCGAATGTGGAATGGTATAAGAGGGGCGCGGACCTAGCTGCAAAAGATTTCCGTCGGCGCGAGCAGCGTGACGCTCGTGTTGAGGTATGACGCCGGCGAGTACAGGTGCCGCCCAGGCGCAGGCTGACAGCACTTTGGACTTGAAGGAACGCATATTGAAAGCAAAAAAGCACACGAGTCGAACAGCAGAGCGAGTGTGCAAACAGCGCACACGAACACCGACCCGCAAAGAGAGCGAGGTTTGGCGGGTTATGGGATAGATGTTCCCAGAGGTTCGATCAGGCACCAGTCGAAGGGCGTTTCGGTGTAGAGCTGCTAGTGGCTGCCGTCAGCGTGAGCGTGGCTTAGACGTCGGCTCACGATTCAGCTGGCAGCACTATGCATAATGCAGTGTGATGAAACACTGGGATACGGGAGGATGCGAATGTGTGTACTTTGGTAAATGTATGTAAAGGATGCGATGAAATCCATGATCTGAGAGGCCATGTGGCAGCATCATTGGTGCGGTTCTCGTCCATGGCGCACCCGCTGACTTGCGCCCATGCCAATTTCTTGCCTTACGAATTCGCTCTATGAGTGTATTACATGTATCTGGTATCATGATAATCAAAGCAGTTGAAGAACATGCATAGTCTACGCACAGCTGCCACACGTGCACGTGCACGTGCAGGTTAGAGGTCTCGGTGAGTAGAGGGTGCAAACCCATTCGGACCGGCCATCTGTTATTGGTGGCCTCGGAAGTAAGTCGACTACATTGGTCGTGTTTAGAGGAGTGGATATACGGAGTAGAGGGATGGTGTTCGGTCGCATCTCGTAGGGCTGGCTCGCCAAGGCACTGTGGTCCGAGCTCTCGCGGCCTGCGATGCAATGAGGGAGATCATCACTAACCCGACTACGTATCCCGCCCTCGATCTCACCCAGTCCTAGGAACCTCTCCAACTGCGTCGCGACATTCTCGTCAGAATCCACAATACTTGATACGTAGGACCCAGCCTATCTGCGAGCCACCCCGGTCGCCAATATGGTACGTCACCTCATTCACCAGCAGCTCACGCCTTTTTACTGACTCTCGACACAGCTGCCATTGGGCCTTCTGACGGCCGCGACTGGCCACCCTATGCTCGTCGAACTGAAGAGCGGCGAAACCCTAAACGGACTGCTCGTCAACTGCGACACGTGGATGAACCTTACCCTGAAAGAGGTTGTGCAAACGAGCGCCGACGGTGACAAGTTCATGAGATTACCAGAGATTTACGTTCGCGGAAGCACAGTAGGCGATCATCTCGTCCCTCTCGATGCACTCTACTGACCAATTTCCAGATAAAGTACCTTCGAGTGCCGGACGAGATCGTCGACGTTGTAAAGGAACAGCAAGCCAAGGACCAAGCGAACCGCGGCGGCCGAGGAGGAGGCATGCATGGACGAGGAGACCACCGGGGCGATCGTGGTGGAGGCAGAGGAATGAGGGGCCGAGGACGCGGTCGCGGAAGAGGAGGAGGCGGCGGTGGTGCTTGAGAGGCGGACATATACCCAAATGCAACGGCAGTCAGCGCGCGCGTCGCTTGTAAAAATCATGGCGGATTCATGTGCGGTCGTTGACTATGAAGCAACAATACAGGGAGCGAAAGAGCACTACTGCGGACTGTCAAGTTGGACAGGCTTCTTTGAAGGCTGCATTGGAGCATGACCTACCCAAGTGTCGACCTTCGCAAGAGCAGCGCAACCCTCCCGGTCTGGTCGTACGTTCAATCTGAGCATCTGAGGCTCCTCTGTGAGGTGAGCACAACAGAACGTCCGCTGTTTGGGGCACAGTTCCAAAGTTAGCTGCCTGACACGAATAGGCGCCAGCAAATTAGCCAAAAGGAACCCTGGTCACAATGGGGACATAACTGTTGGTGTTATTTCTGTGCCTCCCAGTGACACAAGTTACCTAGGTACCGCACACCTTGGTGATTAGCGTAGTCGTACGTTGATGCGGGGTCTGCCGTGGTCCCGAGCTACTATGCGGCGTAGGCGTCTGCTTTGGCGACTCTCCATCTGCGCTAATTATAGTACATGTGCCCCTTCCTATATGCCTCCTCTCAAGTCCCTCAAGGAGCTGTTCTGCTCTTTCCCATTCACCCAGTCCTGCATCTGCCAAGACATTGTTTGTTAACCTGTATTCAAGTCGCCCTTTCCAATCTCAGTACTTTGACATTTCATCACAAACACACTGTCCCACTCAACACAATGACGAGCTTCACTATCTCGGATGGCCAACTTGATGGATTGAAGGATCAGGTAGCTGTTATCACTGGTAGGATAACATGACCGGATATCCTTTACCGACTACTTATGCGCACCAGGAGCATCATCGGGTATAGGACTTGCGACACTCCGAAGGATCATCAAGCACGGCGGCAAGGTCTTTGCTAGCGACCTCACTCCCCTTCCCGAGCCCGAAGCATCATCCGTCCCCTTCTTGAAAGCCGACGTCACGTCCTGGAAAGAGCAACTCGACATCTTCAAAGCAGCAGAACAGAAGTACGGGAAGATCGACCATGCCTTTGCAAACGCAGGGATAGGAAAATCGACAAGCTTTCTGGAAGAAGATGTGGACGAGAATGGCGACTTGTTACCGCCGAAGATGAACACGATCAACGTCAACTTAGTCGGTGTAATGTACACCGTGAAGCTGGCCATACACTACCTCAAGAAGAACCCCAACGGTGGCAGCATCGTCATGACAGCATCGGGTTCAAGCTTCGCGCGGCTCCCGGCTGAAGACTACAGTACGTCTCGTCAACCCATATCAAGATTGAGTGCTGACACATCCCAAAGCCACAGCCAAACACGGCGTTCTCGGTCTTCTACGCGCTCTACAGCCCCAACTTCACCCCAGACTCCCCATCCGCATCAATGCCGTCGCTCCGTCCTGGACCGACACAGCGATTGTGCCCCGTGCCATGATCGCTGCGCTAGGCGATAGCAACGTGCAGTCGGCCGATGTGGTTGCTCGTTCTGTGGGTGTGTTGATGGCAGATAAGGAGCGTCATGGAGAGCTAGTGTACAGCGCGCTGGGCAAATTTGTGGAAATGGAATATGGAGAAGCGGGGTTCCATGCTCTTACGAAGCCCATGATGGAGCTTGCGGAGGGCGGAGAGAAGAAGGAAGTCCTGGTTGCTGAGAAGAGGGTTGATGAGGTGCTCGAGGAGATGGCGGTGGAGAACCATGGTATTTCGGTCGTTACTGAGTAGGCATTGGGGCGCTTGTGACCCAAGAAGAGCAGCCATGAATTTTTGAAGTCTCAGAATGAAGATCGTCGTTTCCTTACTCTTTGCTTTCATGCGCTTGAGCTGATGTTCGATACAGCATTCTTCTCCAGGTGTGATCAAATCTAACAACCTGGCAATCCACCGTCATCAGAAAGGCAATCTCAAAGTACCCGACTCTTTCTAGGATGAATAATTAAGGTTCAAGAAGAGACTGAAAACGAGACGGGATTTGCGACCCGCACGATGCCTTTGTCTGGGACGTTCCTCCCATGTCGAGATGAAACATGCGCGCTAGCGTGGCTTAGCTTCAAATGCCTCACGCAACCCTTAGGCAACCGCATCTACTCCCCAACACGCTCAAACACCCAACAAACTATCGCAAAGACCTCTAGAAGCCGTAATGTCACCCAGCGGTCAGAATGGCCGCTCTATCGACACGTCTGACACCGATGCAATGTGGTCTAACCTTCGCATGGCCCATGCAGAGCTGGTAAGCACACAAAGATGCAGACGTTGGATTGTGTAGTCGCTAAACCCGTATGCTTCTTGTGTAGAAAACTCGTTCAGATGATTTGCAGAAGATCAATCAAGAGATGAAAGAGCTAAAGAAAAAGCAAGACGCCATCAAGAGAGAAGTGCAGGACTTGGAAAGGTACGATGAGGTTGTTCCTAATCCCAGTATCCGGGCGCGAAACTACCACCCGGAACTAGTAGTAACACCACTAGGGAAATGGATGCTACATCGGTACACATCGTCTTTAAAGAAGCGCCAGCCCTCATGGAGCCTTTCCTCACTCGACTGCCTCGAGAGATACGTGACCTTGTCTATGAGTATGTCTGCGTTCATCCAGACACCATACAGGTTGCTCTTCCTGGACAGCCTGGTTCTCGGACAGACCCATCGGTTGTTGGATCGGGTGGCCAACTAATGGATGTGTCATACCTGTCAAATTTGGAGGTCGTACCTACCGAACTGTCCGAGACATATTGGTCGAAGAACCGTTTCGTAATCAGAGTCGGTTTGTGTACTGGCATGCGAGCTGACTCTTTGGGCACTTTTCTGCTGCATGGGACAGTGCCTAGTGACAAACCGTTTTGGAGGGTGTTTGTGCGCCCGTGGGAGAAAATTCGTCATCTGAAAATAGAACTGGCATGCGAACACTGGGAATCTGACACGCGCTACGGGCAAGACAAGATGAGTGACTACTACAAACCAGCATACGGCCTCGGTGACGACTCCACGTTCGCGCAGGCTGCCGTGTCTAAACAAGAGGCTCAGGTTTATCCTCTTACTCGACTGAAAGGCCGACAGGAGCTTCACATCGAGATCGAGATACAAACCACGTTCGCCAAGGACGGCCCTGATGTGCAACAATCAGAGCTTCACTTCGTTAACATCATGGAGAGCATCCGGCAAACTGTGTGCGAACTGATGGACTCCGGCGTCCGTGTCACGGTCATATCGAGCAACCTCGACTATAACGAAGTGCCTAGGGGGCCTGAAAGGTGGGACATTACATCTCGCTTTGTCCTAGACGCAGAAGAGTGGCGCAGTGTACGTACATCCTCGACAGTAATAACGATCAAGGCTGACTTGTAGAAGGAAAAGGATCAAATCGAAACGCGAGACAGGGAGACCGGCTACTTCGGGCATCCGCAAGCTGCAATGTACCATTGTGTTCCTACAACAGGCCTTGCTGACATGGAAGATTTCCGTGAGCTACTGTTGCGTCGTTGGAAGGTGCGATATGCTCTACCCTGGATGGAAGAAGAATCAGAAGTTCAATAGGGGCAGAACAGTCAGATTGAAGATGAACAGAGAGTTTGAGCAATGCCCGTAGTGCGTTGCATGTTCAGTCAGGGTAACGATGTAACATTATCGGTGCGCTGGCAGCGGCGGTGACTTTGATACAGAAGCGTGTCGAGTGAAAGTTAAAACCTCGAGTATACACCGCTTACTCTAAGGGCCGCTATATGTATGATATCTATCAGGATCGGCAGCCTTTAACGTGTTTGCGTCCAATTACGAGCAATCATTTCCACCACATGGTACCCTGGTACGCTATCTCTCCGAAAATCGAGATTAGGCGATAAGCTTCACATCATGTCGAGACTCTACAAGCACTTGTAGACCGGTGAGAAGGTCGAAAACTTTGGTCATCGCATTCTTCAAAGTGCATAGCATCTGTTCCTATGAGGCTTGTTCTGAGAGAAGTTGAACGTACCAATGAAATGGAGGACGCTCTTCCACAAGCGTTCCAAAGCTTAGTAAGGGCCGTGCAGTGCAATTCGTTGACTCGTTTTACGTTTGCGCAAAACCCACACGTCCCCTTACTCACTCTCCCGTCGATTTCGGATATGCAATGGCCCGTCAGCCTATCAGCTGCTTGACACATGGTAATGTTCGATCGGTCCCAGTCCCAAGAGTCGTGGCAAGAGTCGTGGCGTAGCGGGGTACCCGGGAAGAGATCTCGCCATGACGATGCAAGCAAGTGAGTCCTACGCCCTATCTACAACCGAAAAACGGCCATATACCGACGCTGACACCCGACGGCACATGAAAGGATTGCGACGGCTGTTTGCCTTCAGATAGATGGGTCGGCGATCATCGTGGAGTCCGGGGAAGAGCCGTCTCCACGCCGAAAGGCTCCGCTGGCGACCGTGCCCCAGGCGCTTCTACTCGGGGTTTGACAGTCTCAGTGGCGACCTAGGCCTAATTGGGCCTAGTAGCCACTAGCGTGCAGGGACCCCTGCGGTACTTATTACAGCCTATCGGACCAAGTTTCTTATTCCCCACCCC